AAAGTCACAGTTCGTATGAAGAAAATAACTCGCCGGCCGACCGACATTATACATCTCCCAAATTCAAACTACGACACAGCTGACTCCAACCAACAACCCACCCCCTCTCTTTCCCTCTTACTCCCACACATCCTCTCTCATTCCTTTCTTTCTCCCCCCCCCCCCCCCTCCCTTGTTTCTTTTGTTTTATTTCTCTTGTTTTTCTTCTTTTTTTCCCTTCATTTTCTCCGTTCCTTTCTTTTCTTTCGCCGGCCGACCGACATTATACATCTCACCATGTTCAAACTTTTTGTATTGATATAGTACACATGGATAGAGCGAAAATACCGACACAGCTGAGCCGACACAGCAACATAATTATCTATGCGGATCTTTATTGTATCCTCGACGAGTTTACTCCACCCAACAACCCCCTCCCTCCCCTCTCTCTCTCTATCTCTCTCTCTCTCTAACTCACACACCTCCTTTGTCATGCTCTTAACCCCCTCTCTCACCTTTCTTTCATTATTTGTTTCATTTACTCTTATTTGTTCTTCATTTTTTCCCTTTTCTCCTTTTCCTTCTTTTTCTTTCTTTTCTTTCTTATCTTTCTTTTCTGTCTTTTTATAAAAATCTTTCTCTCTTTCCTTCTCCTTCCTTTCTTTTCTTTCTTTTTCATCCTTCCCTTTCTATTTTCCCTCCCCCTTTTCTCATTTTTGCAGACGACAGCGCAATTTTACCAACAATATCCTGATAGTTGAGAGGGGGCGTCACACCCCCACAGCCATCTCTAGCGACGCCCCTGGGCTCGACCCCGCCCCTTTGGCCTCCTTACTTAAAGTATGTTGAAGAGAAATAGAAAGAAAGAAAGAAAGAAAAAGAAAATAGTGACCTGCAAGTGTCACGAATGAGGTATCAAAATATGCTCACCTGACCGTTATCAAAAACCTAAAACCTTTAAGCTAAGGCGGACCCCTGGGTACTCATCTGACGGTAAACAAATGCTCAAAACGCCTGAACTTGCAGGACCCCTGAAGTTTCGGGGGCTCCGTCCCCTTGGATGCTCATCTGACCATAATTAAATGCATGAAACCCCTGGGTTTCCGGGGGCTCTGCCCCCAGAACCCTACAAAGGACCCTAAAGCGGGCCCCTTGTGCTCACCTGACCTTAATGTAATGCCTGAAACCCCTTAGTCAAGGACCCAACGCCAACTAGTGACCTGCCAGTGTCACAAATAAGGTATCAAAATATTCTTATCTGACCGTAATTGAAAGGCTTAAAAACCCTGAGCTTCCGGGGGCTCCGCCCTTTTCGATACACATCTAACTGTAATGAAATGCCTAAAACCCCTGAAGTTCCGGGGGCTCTGTCCCCTTGGATGCTCATCTGACCGTAATTGAATGCCTAAACCCCATGGGCTTCCCCCTTGGCCCAATCAAGTGTCCTAACGCTTGGCCCAGGATGCTCATCTGACCGTAATTAAATGACTAGAACCCCTTAGTCGAGAGGGCTCCGCCCCTGTACCCAATGTCAATTAGTGACCTGCCAGTGTCACAAATAAGGAATTAAAATATGCTCATCTGACCGTTGTTGAATACCTAAACCCCGAGCTTCCGGGAACTCTGCCCCCAGGACCCACCGGGGCCCTTAAGCTGTCCCCTGGATGCTTATCTGACCGTTATTAATGCCTTATACCCCTGAGCTTCAAGAGGCTCCGCCCCCGGACTCAAAGCCAATTACTTGCCTGCCAGTGTCACAAATAAGGTCTCAAAATATGCTAATCTGACCGTATTTAAATGCATGAAACCACTGAGCTTCCGGGGTGCTTTGCTCCTGGACCCTACGCACATTTACCCCCACTCGCATCGCTCGCTACGCTCTACGTGATCATTTATACTTTAGCCCCCCCCCCTCCCCCTTCCTACTTTGAAAAACAGTTACTTCTACGTTCACTTCGGTCGCACACAGTTTGAGCACGTTTGGAAAACATTTACAGAACGTATTGAGAACTAGTTTGGTGTGATGGGGGCTTCACTAGAATGTCTTGATTTGCACAGCTTGAATCTTTGAAGTTGAACGGGAATAAGAAATAGCAAGAACGCGCTGGGGTTTTAACACCCTTGAGCCAGGACGTGATTCCACACGCTGTTGCAGCGCGTTCGAACGCAATTAGAACGAATTGGGGACGAGCTGTCGTAGTGAGAACGAGGTAGAACTAGTTAATAACGGGTATACACGGACTACGGACTGGCTGGAACTGCCTGGAAATGGCAAATTTGGCCAATCTAAACTTGAAATGAACTGACTGTAGACGGGGTACAGACGAGAAGGACGTATTGAGGACTGTGTATGAACGAACGAGGGTCGTATTATAGACATTAATTACAAATTATACGCACCCCGTTTGCGGATTTAAAACGTAGTGCAGAGCGGTAATCGGTATTTTTTTTTAAATCTTAAGCCCCCCATCACACGGAACTAGTTCTCACTACGTTCTGGAAAATATTGCTAAACGGGCTCAAACTGTGTGCGAACGGAGTTGAACGTAGTAGCAACTGTTTACTATCTGTTTAATAACTTCATGGACGGGCTCTGACTGGCGAGTACGGGAGAGTGCTTTAGAACTTTGAGCCTGTTCAACGTATTCCCCGTCCTCCATTTAGACGGAGTGACAACGTACCTAAAACGAGGAGGTTGTACTACAAACAGACTGATTGCCATACTATGAACGGAATTGCCTTACTTCGATCCTACTAGGAACGTGTTACAACGTGCTGTGGTCGAGTTATTATCAGCAGTATGCGCCCCTATCATACTATAATAGTTCTCACTTGTTCTGAAACCGTCCTAGAAAATCGTTAAAACGGGTCATGGTCGGGGTAGAATGTGTAAAACAAAAAATGTATATAATACGATCCTAGATCGTTCATAAACAGTCTCCAATACGTCCATCTTGTCTGTACCCCGTCAACAGTCAGTTCATATCAAGTTTAGATCGGGTTTATTTGTTATAAGTTCCAGGCAGTCCAAGCCCGTCCGTACTCAGTTTAAAACGGTTCTTAACTAGTTCTACCTCGTTCCCAATACGTCCAAACCATTCTAACTAGTCCGCATCTTCATAATAGGGACTTTTAGATTGAGTGGACGAGAACACGACGAACGCCGACTGATCATGCGTGTCAACGTACTCAACTGCCCATGTTGACTACAATCAGAAATCTTTTAGATTGCACTGACGATAAACATGCATGCAGGAAGTAACACTATGAACATGACGAACAAAGAAAGAGGACAAAATATACAGTTCCTCATTCTACCCTCAACAATAGGCCATTTTAATTCGTATTTGTAACCAAATTCAATGCATACTAGTATTCATGATAGTATTTCAGTAGTCAGAATCCGAACTGCATACATCAGTTGTTGCCAGGTTGGACAAACATTATGACTTGACCTACCTAGCAACACTTAATATATGCAGTTGCATTCTGACTATTGAAATACTATTATTCTTATCAGGTGAATGAAATAATTTGTATTGAGGCACTTAACAAAGACGTATGCATTAAATTTGGTTACATTACGAAACTGGCCTATTGCTGTGGTAGAACATCCCTTCACTGCCATTATGTAAAAATTGTAGAACAGGTGAATATGCATGTGACACCTGTTCTTCACATTTTTACACAATAGCAGGGAAAGGACGTTCCTTTGTCTACCTGAGGAACTGTATATTTTATGCGCACGCGGCATATACTAGTACCGGACTAGATTTAGGAAAATCAAGGTTGACGCATTCTCTTTTGCCGACTGAGACGACATGACGCATGCGCAGTGCCTTAAAATGACGTCACACGTTGCAGTCAAAGCTATCGACGGGCAAATCTAAAAGTCCCTATTATCTGATCAGTGAATTTCAATATCATTGTTAAGGCTTGGTACCCCCCCCCCCCCCCACCTTGATCATTCTTCCTCCCCCTCCCCTCCCCTCCCCTTCCCCCTCCCTCTCCCGGAGTTTGTAGCTTTATTAATTGAAGCTTACAACGTCGAATCGTTAATGGAAACGAAAACAACATCTCGTATACAAATCCCGACATGAAAAACAGTTAAGAGTATCTTACGAATTCTCTGTATGTTTCTCTTTCTTATTTTTTCTGTTCTTTGTCTATCTCTTTATTTGTTGTTGAATAAAAGATCATTCTTTACTCGTTTACTCAAAATGTAATTTGATATATTATATTGTGCCTTCTCATGCTTAACTCCTTTCTAATGCGCATTTCTCTTTCCTCATCTTCTTCTCAACCCCACATGCATCTCATCATTTTGTATTATTTTTTGTACCCACGATCTCTCACTTCCTTTTTAGCATCGTCTACTCTTTGTATTTTAACCGTGTTCTTCTATCATTCCCAGGTCGAAATTCCAGTTGATACCAGTTGAAACCAGTAAGGATTTCCAACTGGTATATTCTGGTTTGAACAGGTCTCAACTGGTACCAGTTAAGACCATATTTGATACAATTTGTAAACCAGTATAAATACCAGTTTGAAGTCGAAAAAATAGAATACCACTTGTTACTAGGACTAGTAGATTACTGGTCTCAGCTGTAATACCAGATGCAAACCAGTAGTAAATACAAGTTTGAACTAGGACCTCCTCGTCTCTGCTGGCATTCTCTTTTCCCCCTATTTTGTAGTTCCTTTTGTAGTTCCTTTGGTAGTTAATTTAATTACTCATTATTCCTAAGTATCATTTGAGGTTTTAACACTTGTACAAGCATTGTTTTTTAGTTGACTCCTCTGTTTCCAATATGTGTTTCTACATTTGTTGTAAATGTTTAAAATTGATTTGTATTGTTTTGTTGTAAACATAAATAAATTGAAATTGAATTGAAATTGAATATATATATTCCTGTCTCTTTCTCTATATATTCCCCCTGTCTTTATCTCTCTCGGCTTCTTTCTTTTTTACTCTAACACCCAACACACCTTCCCGCCATCACTCTGTTTTCTGGACAAAGGTTCTACTTGTGTGGTACTAAAAAGGGCGGCAAACTAGAATCTCATCTTAAAGGTCTTCACACATCTCCACGCGGCGACCTCAATGTGCATGTTTATCATGTAAGTATTGATCCACGTTGTGTCCATTGTACACTTTCACTATTTCTTAATTTCGTATGTATAATAAACAAATATACCATGCACTGAGAGGCTCTAGTTAAAATTATGGATCGAGGTGGCAGGAATAGCACTGTCGCCGAGGAAACCATCATTTTAACTAGTGGATTGAAAAAGTGCATGATATATTTGTTTTATATTTTTCAAACCAACCTTCATACTAATAATAGTTATGTTAACTGTCACTGAAGAAGTGTAGAGTGCAGTGAGAGCAGCGCAGACGACAGTACCGCGACCACGACCGACAGCACATTGATCTTGATCGATCGCATATATATGACGTCATCCATGGTATAGTGCTATGGTATAGGTTGCATAGTTTGCATAGTTTGCACAGTGAAAGGCAGTGAATCCCAGGCAATGCCCCGAATTCCCACGTTCTCATTTTAACGCCACCAAATGTCCCTTCTCCAGCTCGCTGTTTTTATAGTGTGCCCTTTCTACACTTTTGTTTTGTCCCTAAAAGGTACCATGACATATTCTACTTAACTGCTATCAAGGCGTCTTCGAACATATCCTCGTTTCTAAATCACGCCCTTTGGAACTCCGTAGACTATTAAAGCAATAAATTGCCATATGTTCACGAATATTACATTTTAGATAATGAAGAGGTTTTCAAAACTCTTTTTATCACTCCTTGTTTACCCGAAACCTAGACTTCCTATGTACCCCCTTTTTAAAACAACTGAGAGCATTTCTTTGATCTAGAATTTTATCCAACATTTTATGCTTTTTATCTTATCACGAACATGTAATATTATATATTAAATGTCTCATCAATTCTTTTATTATGCCTCCGTTACGAAGTAGCCGGTGGCATTATGTTTTCGGGTTGTCCGTCCGTCCGTACGTCCCGTTCTCGTGATCGCGTTATCTCAAGAACCGATTGATGTATTCCTGCCAAACCTAAGTCATGGATGTATCTTGTAGAGACAATGAATTGAACAGATTTTGGGGTCACGAGGTCAAAGGCCAAAGGTCACAGTGCTCATTATGTATGCACAAATAGCTTGTGATCGCGTTATCTCAAGAAACAATTGATGGATTCCTGTCAAACCTAAGTCATGGATGTATCTTGCAGAGCCAATGAATTGATTAGATTTGGGGGTCACGAGGTAAAATGTCACAGGTTTCATTATGTATGCATAGATAGCTTATGATCACATCATTAGAACCGATGGACATTTGTATCATGCTTAGCCAATGAACTGATTAGATGTTGGGGTCATGAGGTCAAAGGTCAACGGTCATTTGGCTCATTATATATGCAAAATAGCTTGTAATCGCATTATCATTAGAACCGACGGACGGATTACCATCAAACTCAAGACATGTATGTCGAAGTTCCATCTAGTTTACCATAAGCTCGTGCTTAAAACTCTACCAGGATTGGTTATTTCATCTAATTATTTGATCTAATCAGTCGAAATACGACTTCCTGTGGAGATTGTCGTGGTCGAGTGGATATGTCACCAGACAGTGGATCACAAGGTCTGAGGTTCGAGTCAAGCCGCGGCACAAATGTCCTTTGGCAAGACATTAATCTACATTTGCCGCAATCGACCCAGATGACCTAAATAAGTACCTGTTATGATTTGAACTTAAAACGCACTGTGCGCTTATAACAGCTGCCGGAACTAAAGCTAGAATGATAATTCCTAAAGCTGTTTGGAAACGCTTTAAAAGGAATATGTAATGTGATATGCGCTATAAGTACAAGAACCGAATATTATTATTATTATTCACTACTCTTGAAATCGCTTCGATCTCTCTCAAAGTAATGTTCAGACCTCCAAAAATGCAACTGCAAAGTATGGGGTAGTATCTTGGACAACATAGAGAAACAAAAATCAATAATTACAAAGTAGGCCGGGATATATAACAATGCCTTTTCACAAAAATTGTATTGTTTCCGCTTTAATGTAAATCTTTGTAGGTGCCCCTTTTCCAACACATATGGACAGCTTCAGAATTGCTCTCAGTCATTTTAAATGAAGAGCACATGTTAGAGAGGCCATTTTCATGGAACAAATCTATGTTTTCTACAAGAAAATGTAGTTAAATATAAATAATGCAATTATGTTTATATACAACCCTGTATGAAACATATCTATTCCGTCATATATAACTAAGAAAATAAAAGTTTATAACATTTTCTAAAGAGAGAAACTTAGAAAGGAGCTTGCATGATACGTCACGGTATTGCAAATTTGTGTTTCACTAATGGCAACTTAACAAATTCATAACTCTCCTATTTTTCAAACTTTCAATAATTTATTTCTCTCAATGTTTCTGCTTATATTAAAAACAACTCAATATCAGGGTGGACTTCCCTTTTAACTTGCGTTTCATCCACAAACACTACCTTCACGCTGGTTTTGCTTAACCCTGTACTTTGCTTTATAGCCCCGTACTATATCATTTACCCCGGACTAACTTTGTTTGGCTTTTCACACACGCTGTTTTAGTCCCGTAGTAGCGCCTATTCCGGAATAAGAAAATTCTCGCTGTTCTCACTGCCCCGGATTAGCTCCATATCATGAATATTCATTAGGGCATTTTCTGCAGCTGCGCTTAAAGGGCCCATGACACCGAAATACAAGCGTATTCCTGTTGGTGTGCAGTCCTGCATAAATCTCATATTTTGATATGTAAACTTCTGAATTTGTTTCATAGATTTTTTAATATTTTTTTAAATATTTTTTTCTTCAAACTTGCTATTAAAGGTCCACCCCAAAACCTCCAGATCTCATTCCCCTTGTGACATCATCTGTCAGTCATCAATGAGCTAACTTGAGAAAGTGGTATGTATCTTTGCCGAAGTCGACAACCTGTTACAATACGTAATACAATAGCAACATACAAGTTGCTATGTCATACATGCTGTAGCATCACCAGGAAAACAAAGACATGATGATGTATCGTACATAATAATGTATCGAAGCATGCAATTAAATTATGAACGTGTGCTAAGCTGGGGGAAATTACACACCATTGTCTATTCTAGAATATAAGTTTAGTCTGACATGTCCGACATAGGAACTTATACAAATTATGTTGCTATTGTCTGTGGTATTGTAACAGGTGGTCAACTTTGGCAAAGTTACATGCAACTTTCTCAAGTTGACTCATTGATGACTGACAGATGATGTCACAAGGGGAATGAGATCTGGAGGTTTTTGGGGTGGAGCTTAGCAAGTTTGAAAGAAAAGAAAAAATCCAAAAATATTTAAAAATCTATGAAACAAATTCAAAAATTTACATATCAAAATATGAGATGTATGCAGGACTGCACACCAACATGAATACACTTGTATTTCGATGTCATGGGCCTTTTAATAACATTGCACAATAAGCACAATAAGCGCGCTTCACATGACCTTTCGCACCGGTAGTGCTTTACGGTAAAATCCTTATTCATGAATACGTCGTCTCTGATTGGACAGTGGGCTCCTTACTTCGCATCCGGCCAGCTGCGATACGCTCCATTGCGTAGTTTCGGACTATTTTTCGTTTCTGTTCTATTTCATTTTCTTGGCACCGCAATTGCGGAGTTAGCAACACAATTGCGGGGTTAGCCCTGCTATTTTGCATGGCTAACTAATCCCATACTGTATTTGGGGCTAGCCCAATTTGGTAAATACGAGCCTGAACAAAAAGTGGAATGAGCTTAACCCCGGACTATAGGTGGGGCTAAGACCCCCCCCCCTAACCCCACCTATAGTACGGGGTTAAGCAAAATTTTGCCAGTGTGAAAACAGTACTCGTATGAGTGGTGTTTAAGTCCCCCGATGATGCCAATATTAATGCCTAGTCGCATGCAATGCTACCTGAGAAAGACCTTGTGTTTCTATATGAAGCAAGCCTGTCATATAACCTAGATCAATTACCAATTATCCTAATGGAATAAGGAATTTGAAAATATCAATTCGCTCATTTGTTAATGTAATTGTTTCCGTCAGCATTAATTTCTTTCTCCAAAACAACTTATGTAATTATGGTATACGTTGTCCTTATTATGATATCACTTTTCTTATTTCTCAGGATGGTAATTTTCAGGATGACAAATCTTATATCATTACTCACACTCGTTGAGTTTCAGCGATGGCTACACACTACCGGTCAAGCTGACCTGTACCATTGCCTTCTACCTGACAAACACCACTATGCTCGTTGAAGGACCTCATACATCATGTCTTATATTGACTAAGTTACACTAATAACTACGATCAAGCGGATATACGTCACTATGTTTAAAGGGACGATCTTTATTGTAAAATTGAAAAAATAGAAAAGAAAGCAGACATACTAATTTCTTTTCGTCTCACCCTGCTCAGAATAAATCGCAAGAACGAACGCGCGCTTTTTCCTTTAGCTTCCACTTATGCTGTCAAGTTTCGGCTTTTTATTAGTTAATGCGATTTACTCCGATGAGACCAAAACGAAAAGCTTTAGTTTGCCTGTTTTCATTGGTTTCACTATGGTTCATGATGTTAAGTACCATGATAATAAACATAAAACACTCGTATATTACGTAATGAATGAATCAGAAAAGTTTTCATCAATGCTTCGGTCAAATTGATTAAAGGTTAGATTTCATATTTAAGTCTATGCAACAGTTCTGGTGTGTATATATCTTATGCCATTTAAGTGCAATTTTATATTACTCCTGTTATTACTCCTGTGATTTCTTGTCATAGGATTTATACGTAATGAGATAAATGCTGGGTATCCTCTTTATTAAAATTAAAATTAAAATTGTCCCTTAACATATATTGATACTGTTGTATACTGCTCTGATACAGCCACATATTACATATGGCACTTGAATCACACTTGAATTGTATATTTTATACTAAAAAGATGGCTATACGTGCTATAACTTTCAAGCCACATCGTTCTCATACTAATGCACTGTTTCATGACCTCAAATTGTTGAATGTTTTTAAATTGCATAAATTATCTATTTGTACTTTTGTGTTTGATTTGATAAATGAACGATTACCTCATTCCTTAAAACATTACAGCAGTATGATACAACATGAATATTCCAAAAGACAAAAAACGGGTCGATAAGTACGTCTTCCTTTATTCTGAACAGACCAAAGAAAGTTTTGTGTTTCGTTTGTTGGAAGTAATTTTTGGAATATGCTTCCTACTGATCTAAGAATTGAGAGATCAAGAACCCTTTTTCGTAACAAACTTACAAAATTACTCTTGTGTGAAAACCAAGAATTATAACCTTGTAATTATATACCGTAAATGTAAATAGCAACCAGTCTTGTTTTTTAAATTGTAATATTATACACAAATCTTATTTTTAGGATTTGGAAACACATTGTGTATTTGTCAATGAACTTTATTTCAGGTTTTAGATAACGAGAGTCAGACTCGACTAGCACATGTGCTATTGTTTACTCTATTTTACCATCGATCACAAACTCATTGTAAATAGTCATTTATTGTTTTACTCTTGAAACTAAAATTATACTTATAACTGTTTTTTAATATTTGTCTAATGTACATGTATATCGCTGTAGAACATGTATTTTTTAAATTCATGTCATGTATTTATGTTATATTGACATTGTCATTGTACATTTATATATATATATATATATATCTTATGTTTCAATGTTTCAATGGTGGTGAATAAATATTCAACTCAATTCAATTCAATTCAATAACGTAAACGTATATCATATAAGCTAACTCCACCCTGTAACTAAACGGAGTGATCACATGAATGTCAATCCAATAAATACAGATAACAAAAAACATTGTTTTAAGTTTGAATTCATCAATAGGCTATCATTTTCACGAGTATTTATTCCCTTCAAATTCAAAACTCGTCTTATGTTTCAATGTTTCAATGGTGGTGAATAAATAAATTCAACTCAATTCAATTCAATTCAATAGCGTAAAAGTACACCATATAAGCTAACTCCACCCTGTAACTAAACGGGGTAAACTCATGACTGACAATCCAAGAAATTCAGATAAAAAACATTGTTTTAAGTTTGATTTCATCAATAGGCTATCATTTTCACGAGCATTTGTATGAATAATTCCTTCCCTTCAAATTCAAAACTCTTCTTGCATGAAAAGTTATGGAAACAATAATGTAAAATCTCATGAATGCTCTCGTGAAATCAAGTGAACTGATAATCAATTGTGTATTAAACATAAAGATATGATTGTAGAACGCAATATGATTTATAATTCATTGATAATATAGGCGAACCGGAGCTATTGTAAGAAAACTACATTTAAAGGAAACCTTTAGGGGAATGTCTATTGAGGTAATCACTATGTGTGATACATACATTGGGAATGTTCGAGAACAACTCTCATTTCGCCGGCTGTGTAGTAATATATGAAAAGGAAGAAAAAACTAGCGAGACGAACTATTTAACTAAAGTTAACATGTATAATAATGTTCAATTTGGTCGAATGAGGTTGTTAAAATAAGCTTGTAGAAATAAGCAGATTTGTTTTAATCAGTGTTATTAGAACTGGCCACATAATTTTCAACAACAAAATTAATTTGAAAATATAAGACTGCTAAAATTACAAAGTTAGGAGACGTGAGATCCACAGGAATATTTTCCTTTCTCTTCCTGTAGTAAAAGTGATGGAACGTGTGATACCTTAACAGTTTGTTCATGGAAAGCAGAGTAGGACTCAAGCGGAATTGACTTTCAAACCCAGTCTTATGGCATTATCGTTTAGTATGATTAATATAGTACCACCACAGAAACGTTGGTAAATAGTAGTAGCAATTTTAGGAGTTAAAGTAGTAGAAGTAGAAAAACTTAAAACTTAATGTAATATAATGTTAAGAAGAAGAGGAAGAAGAAGAAAGAGAAAGAAAAATGAAGACAAAAAGGTTGTAGCAGAGGTAGTAATAAATGTCTGATTTACATAGAGAGACTAATTGTTTTATTTGTTCAACATTTCAATTGCTTTGTTTACTTTTGTTGAGACTCTCCCAATGAGGGTACCCTTCGGACGAAAATAATATATTTTTGCGTTATTTTGTCATTAGTCATGTATAACAGTTCGGATTATTCATGATATTTTCTTTCTATAACTTGTGTAACTTACTGCCTGTACTAAACAAATATAATATTAACATGTTACAAGTACGTGTTGCCTCAATGATGTATATTGGATATGTGGTTGTTAGCTATATAGATAATATATGTGTATATTAACGCACATATATGTATATATATACATATATATGTGTGTGTTATATGTGTGTTATATGTGTGTTAATATAAATATTGCAAGTTTCATGCTACCATTTTCCAATTGTTTAGTATTCAAGTTTTTCAAGTACACATATTTTCGGAAGGCATCTTCCTTCTTCAGGTTAAAAACAAGAAGTATATTTTAATAAACAGTACTTTAATACAATATGATGAACAGTTTATATGTTATTGATATAAATATAATAACTATATAGCTTGTGGATTGCGACAATAATATTTATGAAAGACACTCCTGAAGATTTTAGGAGTGCATTCAAGTTTGATATTTCGATTGATTTCGAATATTACTGCTTTATGGATATACGACTGTATACTTCATTAAAATAACAAAAACCCGCAAATGATTAAACGTGTTGTTTCTCATGGTAACAGGAAAGGGACACATGCACCATGGTCACCATTTAACCGTTGTATTGAACAATACCGTTAACTATGAAAACATTAGTACCATCGCTTTATCATGGTTCTATCATGTAACGTTTACAGTCATAGTATGTACTATGCAATTAAGAATTCAATTAGAGAAGCGAAGCTTGTGATAATTTAGGTCCCCTTAACAAACTTACTTACACATATAAAAAGAAGGGTGACAGGGAAAGAGAGAGAGAAGGAACGAATGAAGAAGGGACCAAGATGAGGATGATGTGCAATTAGAAGAGAGAAAAGGGGTACAACTAAGATAAAAGTTGGACAAAGATGTAGATAAGGAGAAAAAACTACATTGTGTTACTAAGATTACTATATGCCAAATAAGGGATAGAACTAAATTTTTAGCTGTTCCTATTCACACTTGGGATAATGCACATATGATGGTGTGTATGTGTGTGTGTGTGTGAGAGAGAGGTAGTTGGTGTATGTGTTTTCATAGTGTGATCTCTCCTTTTGTGTGTTTTGTGGGTCTGTAGCACAGTCAGTCTATAAACTATCGCAGAAATTGTTTCATTGTCAGAAAATGCAATACATTTTCAATAATTTATTGCATTTAACCCCGGTGCCTAACATTAAAAAAAAATCTGTGTGCCCATGCCTTGAGCCATTATGCATGGCCGTCCAGAGGATTGTTTTATGTTGGGGACCGGGGTAAAATGCAATAAATTATTGAAAATTTATTGCATTTTCTTTTTTTTTTAATTTATGGAAACTGCCCCTACCCTAGCCCCCGCTGCGTACAGTCATGGTTCAGTGACAAAACAATGGCCTCGTAACTGTGAGGCCCCAGGATCAAAACCGTGTCGATGTGCTATATTAGTGCCCTTTTGTGGGGCATTAATCCTCATTACTGTCATTTATGACTTGAGAGCGTAGGGCCCCTAATTAAAAAGCATAGTAGCATACACATGCTTTAGCAGTTCCGCAAAACACACATTGGCAAGTTATTATTCAATACAATCTGAGAATGTATACTATTATCTATATCTATTATTTTTAAATAATTTGTAAAATAATTCCATAAATTGGGGTAAAACTAAAATATTCCACCTTTATGAGCGACAGTGTATATACATAACACACACATAAAGGTACATAGGAAATGATGCAAATTTACTTTGTTTCAAATCTACGACTGTAAAAACGTACATGTATGGCATCTGTACAAGAAGATATATAAACAACATATTATGAAGCTGTATATGGCAAGTGATCTATTTGGTACTTGATTACCGAGATTGTGGTAAAAGCAAACATGAATTTCATCACAGATGTCCAAACATTTGATGAGTCAATCAGTATGAAGGGGCGAGTTGTTCTAGCGCCACCTTGTGACTGATTTAGTAATACACCACATGAGCTAGCCCATCAAAACAGTACATTTGGTCGCGCTCGATCCGGGTTGGCCAAACTGTCCTATAGTCAACAACATTGGAAAGGATTGTTGTCGAGCGCCCTCTTACTATGTCCTAGGCTTTATAAAGATTAGGCTACGATTAGATTTAAGATAAGAAGAGACATGTGACCAGACACCAGAAAACCACGAAAATATCACATGGTCATATTTTAAGCTAGAGCTCATTTAATATATTACTGGTCAGCATGATGGACTTTCAGTATTTAGCTCTTCCTGAAACAGTATACTTTGTGTATATAATTTCAAAATTATGAAACTTCTCACTGCATTAAAGCGATTGGGTAACTGTGTCTCAGATTCTGAAACAAAATCATGCAGATAGATAGATAGAGAGAGAGAGAGGGAGAGAGGGAGAAAGCGAGAGAAACAACATGTGATAGACAGATATGATTTCCAACAAGATATTATCATAGAGGCAGTGCAAATATCAAGGAATATATTTACAGTTTCTATCGCTCAAGACCGCTATAGTGAAGGTTATGAATTAGAAACAGTGGAGTGCATTAGGGGGTTCCTGCCCCCGGTCTAGACTTCCAGCGAGGGGCTCTGTCTCAGTGACCCTAGGGGGACCATAAGGCGTTCCCATGGACCTCATCCGTAAAGATAGAAGCAGTTCACAATACAACCATATATTATATCGTAGGCTAATTGCGGGTGCACCATGTGAGAGAGAGAGGATTGAGGAGTGCTGAAAAGGACCCTCGGTAATCTTTCTTGAGGTTTTTGTAGTCCTGAAAAGGACTGTTGGTATAGTCTTGAAAAAAGACTGTTGGTTATCTTTCTTAGCTTATAGTTCTAAGGAGGACTATGGCGCTTGGAGAGGATGAGTGGCGGGATGCACCCGCAAGCCTATATCTACATCACCATGCAAGCCAACACTTACAAACAGCAT